ACTATTCGCTGGCCATTCGATTTATGGCAACTTTATCGAAAAAATCAATTACTCTTCTCGCAATATGTGGTCGAGCATTATTTTGCATAAACATGAAATTCTCTCCGATGAAGGGTGCGTACGGAACAACATACGGAATGAGTATGTCTTCCACGTATACATCTGCATTCATATTGTTGTTAAAGAAGCTCTCCATTGTAGCTGTGTCTCTCACTTACAGTACAGTCTGCAAATCGTTCTCCTCTACGACGATAAACTCGTTCTCGTCTATCTGGAGAATAGAGAGATAAACGAGATTCAATTAAAGCAACTACTTGCTTTAATTGAAGATGGTAGAAGTCGAAGGTACGTTGCTGAGGCACTTGATTTATCAGTGTCAACTGTGCAACGTGCTTACGCCAAGTATTTAGAAACCAATTCTTTTCAGAGGAGGCCCTTGGAACGCCCTCAATGTACCAACAACAACGATGACAGATTCATTGTTTTGAATTCTTTAAGAGACAGACATCGAACAGCAGTCCAAATTCGAAACAATTTGAGGGACGTCCGCAACACTAATGTATCCGTTGACACCGTTCAGAGAAGATTAGCGGATCAAAATCTGTTTTCGCGCAAGCCAGCGGCTGTACCTTTACTTCAACGTCGCCATCGCATAGCTCGACTCAATTTTGCAGTTGAACATAGAGGCTGGACTCACGCAGACTAGAGGAAAGTTCTTTTTAGTGATGAATCTCGTTTTTCTCTCTATTCTCCAGATGGACGAGAACGAGTTTATCGTCGTAGAGGAGAACGATTTGCAGATTGTACTGTAAGTGAGAGACACAGCTACAATGGAGGGTCTGTAATGGTTTGGGCAGGAATTTCTGCAAATGCTCACACAGATTTGCACTTCTTTAACAACAATATGAATGCAGATGTATACGTGGAAGACATACTCATTCCGTATGTTGTTCCGTACGCACCCTTCATCGGAGAGAATTTCATGTTTATGCAAAATAATGCTCGACCACATATTGCGAGAAGAGTAATTGATTTTTTCGATAAAGTTGCCATAAATCGAATGGCCAGCGAATAGTCCAGACTTAAATCCCGTTGAACACTTATGGGACAATCTTAGCATGAAAGTGCGAAATCACGTACCTGCTCCTTAATTACTGCAAGAACTTTGAAGAATTCTCGAAAACGATAGAATGCAATTACAACGGATGAAATTAAA